GAATAATAATAATAATAATAATAATAATAAAAGAAGAATAAGAAAATAAGAATAAGAAGAAGAAGAAGAAAATAATGGAAAAGGAAAAAAAAAAAAATAAAATAAAATAAATAAAATAAAAAAAACGATAATAATAATAATAATAAAAAATAATAAAATAATAATAATAATAAGAAAAGAAAAAACGGAAAATAAAATAAAATAAGAATAAAAATAAAAAAAATAATGATGAAAAATTAATAATAATAAAGAATAATAAAAGAATAAAAAAAAATAAGAATTAAATAACAATAAAAGAATAAAATAAAATAAGAATTAAATAATAAAATAATAATAATAAAATAATAATAATAATAATAAACTGCTCATTAAATAAGAAGAAAAAAATAAGAAAATAAAATAAGAGTAAAATAAAATAAGAATTTAGATTTGTAAATAAGTCAAATAAGTAAGATAAAAGGAAAAATCCGACAATTAATTTGATTATTAGAAGAACTTCTAAATCAATGTGTTTTCCACTGCAAAAAATCACTTCGGTTATGTGCCATGCGTGCTACACGCTTAGGCGATCATGTATCTTTCGATACATGAATGACGCGGCAATTTTTTTTTTCCTGCAGTAGGTTGCCATTTCTTTCTGCGGTAGACCACTTGCCGTCCAAGGCTATAGAACCCGGTCTGTCCCGCTATTTACCCATAGCTGAAGGAAGAAGAAAAGGATTCATATCTTTCTCAAGGTCAGTCAGTCAGTTATGTGCCATGCGTGATACACGCTTAGGCGATCATGTATCTTTCGATACATAACTGAAGACGCAATTTTTTTCCCGTAGTAGGTTGCCATTACATTCTGCAGTAGACCAGTTGCCATCCAAGGCAACAGAACCCGGTCTGTCTCGCCATGTACCGATAGCTGGGTGGAGAAAAAGAGGATTCATACCTTTCCCAAGGGTAATAGTACGTAAATGAATGTAATGGATTCGACTGGAATTGAAACCCGGCTCTTTACCTCCTCAATCCATTACTCCACTGTGTCCCACGCAAAAAATAACGGTAACATTGCCTACATTGTTTTTTTTTTTTGTTTTTTTTATCACAATTAAATTTTTAATTCCGACACGAACTCAGTCTATATCGGGGTTGAATAAGACTGACGGGGTTTTCGTTGGTTGAAATAAGCCTATTCTCTTTATGAAGTAATTTTTGATTTTACTGTGTACTATATATATATATATATATATATATATATATATATATATATATATATATATATATATGTATGGGCGATGAGTAAATTGTTGCCATTTTATATTTTTTATTGTGGCGCATGCGCCATGTTTGTTTTTGATTTTGTCGCCTGCAAAGTATAGTAAGGTTAGTTGGGCACCGGCTGTAAGAAAAAGAGCACCGTAACGCAAATCACGCCGCCAGAAATTTGGAAACAACATGCTGTACTGCTTGGCATTCGCGCCGGAAGTTCCAGTACGAACATTTCAGTGTTTGGATGTCAACCTGAGGACATTGCTGAGGATTCAGAAAGAGTTGAATTAGTCTAATGGTGATTACGATGGTGTTTGGAGTGATCACTCCATTGATCTCCTCATTGGGCCATAAATTCAAATGCCCTGAGGAGGTAGTGCTGCCCTCAGTCAAGATGGCTGTCAGACAACTTCTGCCACCATACCGCCCATTACACCTGGCCACCGAACTCCACTGACTGTACGCCCTTGATTATTATGTATGAGAAACAGTAGAGCGAGAAGCCAACAAAACTCTTTGTAACACGAAGGATTATGGCAGCATTCAACAACTTAATCAAGGAGACCGTCCAGAAGAGTTGCAGGTGATTACGAAGTCATCAGGAGGTCGTGGTTGAAGTCAATGGCGATTTTAGTGAATAAATTTACTCTTTAATATTTCAACATATTTTTGTCTAATTTTGGTAAATATATCTATTAAAATGAGATGTAATTCTCACTTTTGCGTAATTTAGACGACAATTTATCCATCGCACTCTGAACACACAGGATAGATAGATAGCTAGCTAGCTAGCTAGCTAGCTAGATAGATAGATAGATAGATAATGAAAGACTGGGATAGATAGACAGATAATGAAGAAATTGGGATAGATATATAGATACATATGGATAGACTGAATTAGATAAGTAGATAGATATAGATAGTTATGAACACACTGAATTAGATAAATATGAATAGATAATGAAGAGTGAGATATATATATATATATATATATATATATATATATATATATATATATATATATATAGATACACACGCGCGCACACACACACACACACATATTTATATATAAGGAAAAGTAACGTTGATAATTTTAAATTTAAATATTTTATTTTTATGTATTTTAGTCATATAATATTCCGATTTCATTTAGATTCTATCTTCTTTTTTTTTATTAGTGTGATTTGAGTCTCACATTGTGATAATAGAAGACCTGTCAAAAATGGTGAAATATTGTAAGAACCTGGCCGCACATTTACTGTGAATAATCTTGCCATTAAAGCACTTTCTAAACTTTTTCCTCTTCGTGAATTGTTTTGTCTTTTAATTAGAGTAGTCAGTTTCATTACGACGAACAGCTAATGCACTGAGTGTGCTGTCATGTAAAAGATCGCTTTCGTTTTCATATAAACTTTTATTTAAATTTCTTCATGTTTCTCCTATGTATTATTTGTGGTAATCCTCACAGGTAATAGAGTAAATTCCTCCTTCAAGTTTTAGCTCATTATTTCGTTTTACATTGACTGAGTCTTTTACTGTTTTAAACGTAGTTGTGATAAATTTTATGCCGAGTTGATATAAATTCTTTTTAATTATAGTTATGATAGAGTTAGTGGGTAGAACAATAAATATTTTTTATTTGTTCAGTTTGTCAGAAAGGCCTACTTTTCTGTTTTGAAATTTTTTATGAACCTTTTGTTTCGCATTGAATATGAAATAGTGTATTGGGTGAGTCTGAAAGTATTTTCAGTTTATTTTATTCGTATAATACTAACGGCTACAGATTCTGAGTGGTCTTAGATAAAATCAGATGATTATTCGGGATTGTATTTTGTTGTTTTGATGAGAATAGAAATTTATGAGATCATTTCTATTAGTCGATTTTCGGTAAACACTACGTTTTAAACTACTGATACCGAGGAAAGGTAAATTAGTACTTCTGTCCAATTCATATGTAAATTCTATATTATGTATGTATATTGTGTATTTTACGCAAGAATTCTTAAAGACAACTGGCAAGGTACTGCTATTAAGCTATTTATTCGATTTTTCTTGTGTCCGTATAAGTTTTTCGTTTGGGCATAAATTTCAAACAGGATTTATTTAAACAACCACGGAAACCTATGTTCGTCTGTTTCTACAGGGGGCCGACACTATTTTTGGGACACTTTGAAAAGTGTGCTTAAAGGTGTTTTTTTGCTGCCGAGAGCTTTTGTGTTGATGAGTAGGTAGTTCAGAAGTAACTGTCCATTAATGGTATGAACATTGATTGATGGGTTTGTCTTTGGTTTCATGTTTTCTTTATTCTTACTTCAACTTAGGCGACACTATTTTTCAGATATGACACAAATTCCGGGTTTTTTAATGATTTAGTCGTCGAACGTTGCAAATTTTCTGCAGGTAAATTGTACCCTGACCATTACATTTGAGTATCTTTACCATTCACTGTGAAAACGTATTAAAATCCTGAGGAAGAATGCATTCAAAAGAAGTCATCAGTTTGGTCCAAAAGAAGAGAGAAGACGGGCTCAGCATCCGAATGATCGCCGCTGAGATGAAGCTACTGAAGTCAACAGTTGAATACATACTAAGTACAGACTATGATCGGAAGAAGAAGAAGAAGAGAGGACGGAAAAAAAAACAATTTCCAAGAGAACAGAAAGAAGAATGAAGAGTAGTGTTACGAGGTTGTTATCATCTGGAGAAAAGGTGACAGCGAAGAAAGTAAAGGAGAAGTGTGAACTTGACGTCAGTGTTCGAACTGTACAAAGAAAGCTACACGAAATTGGACTTAAGTATGCTAAAATCAAGAAAAGAATTAAATTAAAGAGAAAACACAAGGAGGCAAGGCTGGGAAGCGCCTGAAGATGGATAACAAACCATGTCGACTTCAAGAAAGTGATATTTACTGATGAAAAACGTTTTAAGTTCGTTGGACCTGACGGGTGGTGTACATGGTCGAGAAAAGGTGAATCTGTTATTCTCAACAAGAGACAAATGGGAGGAGGAGGAGTCATGGTTTAGGGAATGGTATTTCCGAATGGAGACTTGTGGCGTAAGTGGTTAAAAGGACGTCAAATAGCTTGAGCTACAGAGAACTTTTGGAAAAGAGAGCCCTGCCACTCATAGAAAAAGAAATGGGAAGTAATTTTATTTTGCATCAAGGTAATTGCAGCATTAATGTGACCAAATCAGTGAAAAATTGGATGTGTGAAGCAAATATAACAATTCTGGAATGGCCTGCAAGAAGTCCAGACTTAAATTTAATTGAAAACATATGGGAAATGCTTGAAGAGCTTGTTTACGACGGGCCAGAAATAACCAGAGAGGCTGAACTGTGGCAGCGCATACAAGATGCTAAAAATAGACTGCTAGAAACACGAAGAGACGTTATTATCAATATGTACGAACATTATGAAGATAGACTGAGAGAAGTCATTGAAAAAAAGGGTGCTGCCATAAACTATTAGCATTGTTGCTGCAATGTCCGAAAAATACTGTCGCCGGTGTAATGTGAAAATTTGTAAAAAAATAAAAATACTTCTAATTTGAATTCTGCTTTTCCATTTGTAGTATTGAAACAGTTTTTAAATGTTATTGCCATTACACTAAAACAGTACAGACTGCCTGTGCTACCTAAAACTTGAAAAAATAAAGTGTCTAAAAAATAGTGTCGGCCCCCTGTATCTTCCTGAAATGATTGCCTATATCTATCTATCTATCTATCTATCTATCTATCTGAGTCTGTTCATATCTATCTATCTATCTATCTATCTATCTATCTATCTATCTATCTATCTATCTATCTGAGTCTGTTCATATCTATCTATCTATCTATCTATCTATCTATCGATGTGAGTCTGTTCACATCTATCATCTATCTATCTATCTGTCATCTATCTATCTATCAGAGTCTGTTCATATCTATCTATCTATCTATCTATCTATCTATCTGAGTCTGTTCATATCTATCTATCTATCTATCTATCATCTATCTATCTATCTATCTATCTGAGTCTGTTCATATTCATCTATCTATCTATCTATCTATCTATCTGAGTCTGTTCATATCTATCTATCTATCTATCTATCTATCATCTATCTATCTGAGTCTGTTCACATTCATCTATCTATCTATCTATCTATCTATCTATCTATCTAATTCAGTCTGTTCATATCTATCTATATATCTATATACTTATCTAATTCAGTTTATCCATATCTATCTATCCCAATTTCTTCATTATGTATCTATCTATCTATCTACTAATCTAATTCAATTTATGTATCTATATATCTATCGCTATTTCTTCATTATCTATGAGTCTCCTCATTAACTATTCATATTTATCTAATTCAGTGTGTTCATATTTATCTATACCTATCTACTTAGCTAATTCAGTCTATCCATATGTATCTATATATCTATCCCAATTACTTCATTATCTATCTATTCCAGTATTTCATTATCTATCTATCTATCTATCTATCTATCTATCTATCTATCTATCTATCTATCTATCCCAGTCTTGCATTATCTATCTATCTATCTATCTATCTATCTATCTATCTATCTATCTATCTATCTATCCCAGTCTTGCATTATCTATCTATCTATCTATCTATCTATCTATCTATCTATCTATCTATCCCAGTCTTGCATTATCTATCTATTATCTATCTATCTATCTATCTATCTATCTATCTATCCAGTCTTCATTATCTATCTATTCCAGTATTTCATTATCTATCTAATTCAGTTTGTTCATATCTATCTATATATCTATCTACTTATCTACTTCAGTTTACCCATATCTATCTATCTATCTATCTATCTATCTATCTATCTATCTATCTATCTAATTCAGTCTATTGATACCTATCTATATATCTATCTACTTATCTAATCCAATTTATAGATCTACCCTATTTCTTCATTATCTATATATATATATATATATACACATATATATATATATATATATATATATATATATATATATATCTCAGTCTCTTCATTATCTAACTATCTATCATCTATTCTATTCTATCTATCTATCTCTATCTATCTATCTATCTATCTATCTATCATCTATCTATCTATCTCAGTCTGTTCATATCTATCTATATATATTTGCCAACTTATCTAATTCAGTCTATCCATATGTATCTATATATCTATCCCAATTTCTTCATTATCATTCTATCTATCTATCATCTATCTATCTATCTATCTATCTATCTATCTCTATCATCTATCTATCTATCCATCTATCAGTCTGGCATTATCTATCTATCTATCTATCTTTCTATCTATCTATCTATCTATCTATCCCAGTCTTTCATTATCTATCTATCTATCTATCTATCTATCTATCTATCTATCTATCCCAGTCTTGCATTATCTATCTATCTATCTATCTATCTATCTATCTATCTATCTATCTTCTATCTATCCAGTCTTAGTTATCTATCATTATCTTCTATCTATCATCTATCTCTATCTATCTATTCATCTATCTATCCCAGTCTTGCATTATCTTCATCTATCTATCTATCTATCTATCTATCTATCATCTATCCCAGTTGTTGCATTATCTATTCATCTATCTATCTATTATCTATCTATCTATCTATCTATCTATCTATCTATCTATCTATCTATCCAGTCTTCATTATCTATCTATTCCAGTATTTCATTATCTATCTAATTCAGTTTGTTCATATCTATCTATATATCTATCTACTTATCTACTTCAGTTTACCCATATCTATCTATCTATCTATCTATCTATCTATCTATCTATCTATCTATCTAATTCAGTCTATTGATACCTATCTATATATCTATCTACTTATCTAATCCAATTTATAGATCTACCCCTATTTCTTCATTATCTATATATATATATATTTATACATATATATATACATATATATATATATATATATATATATATATATATATATCAGTCTCTTCATTATCTAACTATCTATCTATCTCATTCTATTCATATCTATTTATCTATCTATCTATCTATCTATCTATCTAATTCAGTCTGTTCATATCTATCTATATATATATTTGCCAACTTATCTAATTCAGTCTATCCATATGTATCTATATATCTATCCCAATTTCTTCATTATCTATCTATCTATCTATCTATCTATCTATCTATCCAGTCTTGCATTATCTATCTATCTATCCCAGTCTGGCATTATCTATCTATCTATCTATCTTTCTATCTATCTATCTATCTATCCCAGTCTTTCATTATCTATCTATCTATCTATCTATCTATCTATCTATCTATCTATCTATCTATCTATCTATCTATCTATCTTTCTATCTATCCCAGTCTTGCATTATCTATCTATCTATCTATCTATCTATCTATCTATCTATCTATCTATCTATCCCAGTCTTGCATTATCTATCTATCTATCTATCTATCTATCCCAGTCTTTGATCTTTTCGAGTCTGCCTATTTCAGTTTATGTAAATGTAAACTTCATATTAATGAAGCAGAATAAACAATCATTCAACTTTCATAGACTAATGCATTTTTGAAGTTGTCAAGTCCAAATTCTGGCTTTTCTGAGGCGTCAAATGCCGGGGAAATAAATTTAGAAAAGAGCAAGATATCAGATTGAAATAGACACAATGTTGGCGGAATCAATAAATATACAGGAATAGATTGTTATGCTATGGATTATTACACATTATACAAGGACGTGAATGCCTTCCACACTGTCGAATGGAGGAGATTGTATAGCAACTAAGCTTTCTGGTTGTTGATAGTGAAAATCAACATTTAAAATATCTACAATTATAGCAGATAGGTAGATAGAAACAAAAAGAGAAACGAAAAGAGGCCAAGGTATATATGTATGTATCTATGTATGAAGAAAGAAAGAAAGAAAGAAAGAGGATAGGTAGGAAGAAAGAAAGAACCAAGTTTAGAAAGAAAGAAAGAAAGACAGAACCAAAATGAGTTATAAAGATAGAGAAACAAGATAGATAGATAGATAGATAGATAGATAGATAGATAGATAGATAGATAGATAGAATCAGAGATAGAAACAGGTCGAGATATGTAGGTAGGTAGGTAGGTAGGTAGGTAGGTAGGTAGGTAGGTAGGTAGGTAGGTAACTGACTGACAGATAGAGAGAGAGAAGTGGGAAGGAAGCTGAGATAGATACACAGAATGATAGAAACAGAAACAGGTTAGAAAGAAAGAAAGAAAGAAAGAAAGAAAGAAAGAAGAGGATAGATAGGAAGAATGAAAGAACCACGTTTAGAAAGAAAGAAAGAAAGAAAGAAAGAAAGAAAAAAAGAAAGAAAGACAGAACCAAGACGAGTTAGAAAGATAGAGAAACAAGATAGATAGATAGATAGATAGATAGATAGATAGATAGATAGATAGATAGAAACAGGTCGAGATATGTAGGAAGGTAGGTAGGTAGGTAACAGACTGACAGATAGAGAGAAAGCGGTGGGAAGGAAGCTGAGATAGATACACAGAGAGATAGAAACAGAAACAGGCTAGAAAGAAAGAAAGAAAGAAAGAAAGAAAGAAAGAAAGAAAGAAAGAAAGAAAGAAAGAAAGAAAGAAAGAAATTAAATATAAACAATCAAATTTCTCTCTCTTGACTTCTATGGAGATGTCATAAAATCGTCTTGTTTACGAGAATCTCGTAGCGAAATATATGTTTTTTCACCATTTGGCGAGATTTGGTTCATTCAAAGAACAACAAGAAAATCAAGAAACCTGTGGTTAAATTCATTAAGACGTGAACAATTTTAGAATATAGTAGACGGAAGGTAAGAAAAAAAATGAAAGATTAAATAACAGGCAAAATATCGAAAGGAAATTAATACCTGAATTCTTGTGTCAATTAGATTCCGATTTCTTACACTTGTATTTTCACCAATGAATGAATGCTTCTTTTGCGATTCATATAAGCAAGTGTCATATTTAGTTCTCATGCAGAAAGACAAATAAGTGTACATTTCTCTGTCTTTCTCTCTCTTTCCCTCTCTCTCTCTCTCTCTCTCTCTCTCTCTATCTATCTATCTATCTATCTATCTATCTCAGTCTATCCATATCTATCTATCTCAGCCTATTCATATCTCAGTCTATTCATATCTATCTATCTCTCTATCTATCTAAGTCTGTTCATATGTATGTATGTATGTATGTATGTATGTATGTATGTATGTATCTACCATCTATTTAACCCAGTCTCTTCATTATCTATCTATCTATCTATCTATCTATCTATCTATCTATCTATCTATCTATCTATCTATCTCTCTCTCTCTCTCTCTATATATATATATATATATATATATATATATATATATATATAACCTGAAGTTTGCGTTTAAGCATGAAAAAGATTATCGCCGGTGTTGACCACAATCTCCACTTTTATATTTACATACGCTCTATTCCTGATATTGTGTACTTGACGCATACATCTAGCATAACTTAAAGTTATATTTTCATCATCATATATATATATATATATATATATATATATATATATATATAACAATGGATTCCCTAACCAATTTATAGACCACTAAATTAGACTATTTCTCCCCAAAATAAATAACAATATGTAGTGAACATAGTCAAAAATTACATAAATATTTTCTACAAAAACCAAATGCACATTAACTACAAGCAAGATGAAACTTCACTTAGAAATATTATAAAGAAATACACTACTCCAACTGACCCGAATAAAAATTCAACTTAATTATCTATCACAAAAATTATCTTATCTTCAAAAATAACAACACACCAGCCAAATCAAAATTACAAGGAACGAACATTATGTATGAGTTCAAATGCCCCTTAAGGAACTGTGTTCCTGATCAAACAGGACTCATAAATAATTACATCGGTCGCACAACTACATGCCTATCCAGACGCCTTACCTTATAGCTATCTGACCACAACTTTATTAGAACCCATTTAAACACACACACACACACACACACACACACACAAAAACTTAACAGAATCCATCCGAAACATACTAGTTTAAAATACAACTATAATAGCCTCATCCACATGTAAAAAAATGATTAAAAATAATGTAAGCTTTAGTAATAAAAAAGGAAAAACCATCATTTAATATTAACTACGAACACAGCCCCAATGAGCTAACTGTGTTTGAAAAGTTATATATCTTTATACCACTAAAAGCATACACGCAACGTACACACTGAATTAAATTGGAAAAAATAAAATCATCCTTGATAATGGCTAAAAGTATAGACGAAAGTCCTCAGAATTATAGAACATTTGGACAGTTTCTACACACTCTGTGTCCAAAAAAGAAAATACTGGTTCGAACACTAGAAAAATTAAATAAAAAGCTTAACCGTAGCACTGTCTGTCGTTTTTAGTGAAATATGCATAAATGAAAGATTGCTACCTAAATCCACAAAACATATAATATATGAATAGACTGAGATAGATAGATAGATAGATATGAACAGACTTAGATAGTTATGATTTTAGCTGTGTCTTTAAAACCCAGTAATTTTAAAAGTTACTCCAAAATTCGCTTGAGGATGAAATGGAACTAATGTCTTTAATTTAATTACAAAATTAAATTCGGGGCTTTTAGCTTCCATTTTTGAAACATGGTTAGAACTGTGTAGCGAAAAAAAAAACATATTTTAAATCAAATAATTTATAATATATATATATATATATATATATATATATATATATATATATATAGAGAGAGAGAGAGAGAGAGAGAGAGAGAGAGAGAGATAATATTAGTGGTAAATATACATATGTATGCAAAATATATAAATACCCATACATGTATATTTTTTTAGAATAAAAATTCCAAAAGGAAGAATCCAGGTAGAACTCAATGTCCAGGACAGAGTAAGGATATAATAAAAGGCTTAAACACTAATATTCCATTAGGCAGCATATATATATATATATATATATATATATATATATATATATATATATATATATATATATATACACAATATATAAAATATATGATAAAACCTACATTGATCACACTACTCAGAGTTTCACGCTTGAAACAACGAGTCGTGCGATCAATGTAGCGTATTATGTGTATTTTTTAATATACTAAATAGCATTGTTATTAAATATATATACGTATATATTTGTATACGAAAGCTGGCTCGTACATTTACCCATAGTCATCCATTTGATTATGTCATTATAAATACATATATAGGTGCACATTATATACAAACAAAATGAATTTAATTTCCCACACATTCGCCGGATCTATAAATGCAATAAGGAATTTTTTTTTTTTTTTTGGTTGGGGGTGCTCTCGCTCAACTGCGCCCCACACATTTTGCATGCGTGAATTAAAAATAAAAATTGGCGACAATTTAGCCATCGCACCCTGCGCGCGCGCGCGCGCGCCCAAGAGATTGGTGGGCATCTAAGAACAAAGCGAAAAAATAGATAGATAGATAGATAGATAGATAGATAGATAGATAGATAGATAGATAGATAGATAGATTCTCTGATGGAAAGATAGATATGTTGGCTGAAATATTTTAGATATGGAAAGATGAAGGTGGAATAAAGAAACCAAGATAGATAGATAGATAGATAGATAGATAGATAGATAGATGCTTTGATGGAAAGATAGATATGTTGGCTGAAATATTTTCATACGTGAAGGTGTGAAAGAAACCAAGATAGATAGATAGATAGATAGATAGATAGATAGATAGATAGATAGATGCTTTGATGGAAAGATAGATATGTTGGCTGAAATATTTTCAGACGTGAAAGTGTGAAAGAAACCAAGATAGATAGATAGATAGATAGATAGATAGATAGATAGATACTTTGATGGAAAGATAGATATGTTGGCTGAAATATTTTCAGACGTGAAAGTGTGAAAGAAACCAAGATAGATAGATAGATAGATAGATAGATAGATAGATAGATAGATAGATAGATACTTTGATGGAAAGATAGATATGATAGATAGATGCTTTGAAAAGATTTGTTATACGTGAAATATTTTCTTAGACGTGTGAAAGAAACCAAGATAGATAGATAGATAGATAGATAGATAGATAGATAGATATTTTCAGACGTAAATAGATAGATAGATAGATAGATAGATAGATACTTTGATGGAAAGATAGATATGTTGGCTGAAATATTTTCAGACGTGAAAGTGTGAAAGAAACCAAGATAGATAGATAGATAGATAGATAGATGAAGCGAAAAATAGAGAAAATTTGCTGTTTGTTTGTAAATAACACCATAATAATAAAAGAAATCACTTCAAAATTTAACTGAAAATCTATTTCAAGTGAAAAACGAAAAAGAAATAAATCCTCCTGATCATTTTCTATCCGAGAGAAAAACTTAATTTTGCCTGAACCGAACTTAAATATTATTGACATTTTCTTTTTACTTACATATATTCATTCGAAGTAAACATACGTACGTATTTCCCTAGCAACCTTATAATCTCGTCATGTCGATGCCCACAACTTTAGACATAACACTAACATATGTCCATTCACAGGCAATTCTTTATCGTTAAAACACGCATAAAAAGTCTTTCGCCTCTGAATAGAATTTTATTTTTAATCGATATTAATCCATGCAAGGCAGTAAAGCCACTAAGTGACAAGGGGTTACAGTCTGTGGAGAAATTAGAAGCAGAAACGTTAATAGTCAGTAGAAAGAGAAAAGAGTAATCAGGAGGACAGTAGATAGCGATTAACATAGCAGATTAAAGTCGGCTGGAATTCAGAGACGGAAGGGAGTCCCACAAGCTGGAAGTGCCGGAAAAGAAACAGTTAGCATAGAACTTACGGTTTCATCTAGCCAGCCCAAATGTAAATTGATAAGATCTCGTCGCCAGTCCAGTACTGCGCTTAAATTTTTAAAAAATCGGTATCACAGCGAAGAGCTTTAATTACCATGAAAATATTTACAGAAAAAAAAAACACAGAGAGGCAACTTTATGGCGGTAGGAAATTGACTGAAGCCGAGACGTCAGATCAGGACCAATAATATTGCTGATTCTTCTTTGGATCTTAACAAGGAGCTTATGGTAAACAGCAGGGGAACCGGACCATATATAGTAGCTGTATTTTAAGCATGGATGAATGGTAGACTTATGGATATGTAAGATAGATTCTGGAGAGAAAAATTGTCTCGTACGACACAGTGAACCAAATTTCTTATCAGCTGATCTAGCAATGGATTCAATATTGTCTTTCCACTTCATGTTAGCTGAAAACGTTAGCCCGAGAAGGCCCAACGAGCCACTTTCCTGTAGGTTAGCATCAGCCATGATGATTGAAGTCAGAGAGGGGTCTCTCAGATGCTTAATGGAGAGAAGTTTATTTTCGCTGGTGTGAAAATTAACAAGCCATCGTTTGCCCCAGTTAACAACGGACTTGGTAACCTTTTGGACATCGGCTACCATTTTGATTTTGCCGGACTTATCAGCCTTTCTATTGACCCAGGAGCAAATGGTTGTGTCATCAACGTAGATTAGGATCGAGTATGGAGCCAAGGGGGACACCCGCTTTAGTACGAAAAGATCTAAACGAGAGGCCGTTCAGTACAACCTTTATTCCACAATTTAATAGGAAAGACTGGATCCGTTCAAAAATGTCTCAGGAGACACCGTAAGCGTTCAGCTTCTGGAAAAGACCTGTATGCCAAACCCTGTCAAAGGTTTTCGAGATGTACTATGCTACAGCTGGGGTTTCACCGTTTTAATTCAGAGAAATTATCGTCAGTACATCAGCAGATGGCCTGGAGAAACGAAAGGTATATTGCTTGTCTGCAAAAAGGCCCTGCGATGAGAGATGAACCAATTTGACATGGATTAGGGTCTTTAGGTGCCTCCCAAAAAGAGGTAGAAGGCTAATAGGGTGAAAATTGGAAGTTTCTGACGGTCCGCGAGGGTTCTAAAAAAACTGGAAAAATAAAGGATGATTTCCGGCAGACAGGAAAGCAGGCATTTACAGTTAAGAGAGAACAGGGTGCAGTTCGGGAACACGCATCTTAATGACAATTACAAGAACAGTATGGAATCCACATGCTTTGTGGGCATCTAGGTTAGAGATGATAGCATTTTTGCTTGTCACGTTTGTCCATATACAGTGAAACCCGGATATAAGAGAGTTGTTAGGACCGGAGAAGTTTCTTATATCCGGGTTTCTCTTATATCCGAGTTTGGTCTATTATATATACATTAACACAGGCTATAATTTGGGACCAGAAAAATATCTCTTATATCCGGGTTTTTCTTATATCCGGGTCTCTTATATCCGGGTTACATTGTATATACTACTCGCATTGGGCACCTCGAGGTGGTGTAATAGTTAGCAAGCTTGTCTTGCTAGAACAACTACGACTGAGTAATGAGTTCGATCCTTACTGGGTATTCCTTATTTTCGGCCTTGTGCCACATAGAAGCTACGCTTGGAAATTCACTATACACTACTCGCATTATCTTACGAAAAGTTGTCATACATTCCTACAGAGGCAAGTGTACATTTATCAAACAAGTGCGAATGGTCATTCCTACACAGGCAAATATACACCTATCAAACATGAGCGGTTGGTCATTTCTGTACAGGCAAGTATATGCTTATCAAACAAGTTCAGGGGTCATTCATATTGAGGGAAGTATACGCTTATCAAACAACTGCTAGTGGTTATTCCTATAGGAAAATATACGCTTATGAAAAAATGCGCGTCGTCATTGCTACAGAGGCAAGTATACACTTATCAAACAAGTGCGCGTCGTCATTCCTATAGATTCAAATATGCGTTTATTAAACGGCTGGTCATTCCTATAGAGGCAATTATACGCTTATCAAACAAGTGCGGAGGGGAAATTCCTACAGAGGCAAGTATAGACTTATCAAACATGTGCAGGTGTTCATTCCTATAGTGCCAAATATACGCCTATCAAACGGCTAGCCATTTCTACAGGGACAAGTATACGCTTATCAATCAAGTAAAGGTGGGCATTCCTAAAGCAAATATACGTTTATCAGTCAAGTTCGGGTAGCCATTCCTATGGAGGCAAGTATAGACTTATAAAACACGTGCAGGTGGCCATTCATAGGAATGGCCACCCGCACATGTTTTATAATTATATACTTGCATCTATAGGAATAGTGTTATGCCATAGTACCTATTCTATTGTAATGGACTCTCCCATAGATAATAAGTAGGAGTAGCAGTGGCAAGTCTGGCAGAACGGCGTCTCGCGGTCTCTGACTGCGCACGCCTCCTGTCGAACTCTCTGCATTAGCAGAGAGGAACCCGGACGAGGGCTTTGCCGAAGGGCAAGGTTTCGTCCGGGAGGTAGATAGGCCTGAAACCCGTCTAATCGGCTTCAAAGGCTATTTTTTTGGCCGAGCCTACGGGCTCGGGGAAAACCCACAAAAAAACCGGCCTTGTGCCATATTCTTTCTCGTGGGTGAAATGATAAATACCGAACGGCGTCTCGCGGTCTCTGACTGCGCACGCCTCCTGTCGAACTCTCTGCATTAGCAGAGGGAACCTGGACGAGGCTTTGCTGAAGGGCAAGGTTTCGTCCGGGAGGTAGATAGGGCCTGAACCCGTCTAATCGGCTTCAGCGTTTATTTTTTGGCCGAGCCTACGGGCTCGGGGATAATCGGCCTTGTGCCATATTCGGTCCTCGTGGGTGGAACGATAAATACTGAACGGTGTTGAGCGGTCTCGACTGCGCACACCTTATGTCGAACTCTCTGCATTAGCAGAGGTTTGCCGGGGCAAGGTTTCGTCCGGGAGGTAGATAGGCCTGAACCCGTCTAATCGGCTTCAAAGCCTTGCCTACGGGCTGGGGATACCCACATTAAAACCGGCCTTTGTGCCATATTCGTTTCGGTGAAATGATAAATACAGAACGGTGTTGAGCGGTCTCTGACTGCGCACACCTTTATGTCGAACTCTCTGCATTAGCAGAGGAACCCGGACGAAGCTTTTGCCGAAGGGCAAGGTTTCGTCCGGGAGGTGGATAGGCCCTGAACCCGTCTAGTCGGCTTCAAAAGGTTATTTTTTGGCCGAGCCTACGGGCTCGGAGAAACCCACAATAAAACCGGCCTTGTGCCATATTCGTTTCTCGTGGGTGAAATGATAAATACCGAACGGTGTTTAGTGCGTCAGTCGAGATTCGGACATTTGAAGTACCAACCATTACAACTAGATTGCTGCGCCATTGACTCTTATTTTCCAAGTTCCTAACGTTTTGTACGTCGGACCTAATTTAGGACGACTTATTAGAAATACAAGCCTCCACTGTGAAAATACTCCACAACAAATAGCCACTCGCACTTTCTTTAAAGGCGTATACTTGCTTCTATAGGAATGACCATTAGCAATTGTTTATTAAGCGTATTTTTGCCTTTATAAGATTTACCCCTCAATAATTTGATAAGCGAAAACTTGCTTCTAAGAATGGCAAGCCGTTTGATAAGCGTTTATTTGACTCTATAAGAATGACCACCCGTACATGTTTGATAAGTCTATAGCTGTCTCTGTAGGAATGTCTCCCCACCCACACACACAACATTGTTTGATAAACGTATCCCTGCCTCTAGAGATATGGCCACGTGCACTTGTTTTATAAGCGTATACCTGCATCTAAGAGTCAATTATACGCTTATCAAACAAACGGGGGCTCATTCCTTGTTTGGGAAGTATATACTTATCAAACTAGTGCGAGGTGTCATTCCTATAAAGGCTAGTATAAGCTTATCAACCTTCCCAACCCCAAAACAAAACTATTAAATAAGCGATGCAAACTACGTGAATAAAAACACCGATTAAAATAAAAATAAGCATATAAGATAAGAAATAAAAATAAAAAATAAAAATAAATAATGACAAGCAAAATAATTTAATCCAAATAAATAAATAAATAAACAAATAAACGAATTCCTGTAAAATAACCACTGAAATAGCTTACCCACAATGCACCACTGACCCGTATATATAAATAGCCGAGAAAAATAACAACACACGTGGCTTGACGATATTCACTCACCCCCCCCCCCACGAGGGTGTCATGTGGCACAAGGCCTTTTTAACGTGGGCATTCCGAGCCCGTGGGCTCGGCCAAAAATATGCCCATTGAACCCGTATAAACGGGTTCAGGGCCGGTTTTACCTCCAAGAAAGAGACCCGCCTTTCGGCGTAGCCTCCTTCGGGTTCCTCCCGTCCGTAGGAAGAGAGTTCAACCGAACAGTGGCTTGACGATTGC